GTTTGTGTTACTCTTTGAGTAATTTCATTAAAATAGTGTGATGCTATTTTAGCAAAATTTCCTAATGAAATATCTCTAAAGTTGGCTACTTTTTGAGTGCGTGTTAGGAGTCTAATTTTATACATTAGTAGTGATTATTAATGTGTAAAAGAAGATAAAAGCCCCAAGTTAAGATAAGAGTGTGTCATATCTCTTAACACCAACTTGGTTTATCCCTTCACTTTTCTGCCCATTTCATTCCTCACCATTTCTTTTTCCTAAACTTATTCTTTTCTCTCATTAAAAACACCAAAAAAGAACTCTTTCCCACACTCCATACTTCACCCCTTCAATTCCATCGTCCATTTCCTTCCGCAAATCCGCCACAAATTAGCTACTCGATAAGACCCCGGGTCTCGGGTACAACATGGCTGCTCAGTACGTCCTCGCATCGCGTAAGTGCGGGCCGGGGCCTTCCCCGCCTGAGCGCCAGATGCTTGCTGCTTGGGCTGACTGGATGCTGCCGCCGACTTCTGGCTATGGGCGGGTTGCGCTGCTGGGGCTGATGCGGCCGGTGTGGACGAGAATGCCTCACCCGGATTCTTCGGACAATCTCTACGGAAATGCCCGGCTTGGCCACACCCTAGGCACAGGCCCAGAGTGTACCAGCATTCTCCTCGATGTCTACGCCCACAATGGTCGCAGATTGGGTTACAGAACCCATCACCGCTTTTGCCCTTCTTCTGGACGGATGCAGATGACTGTGCTGGGGCTGACTTCACCTTCTTGCTCTGGTGAGAGCTACTAGGCGCTGCGGAGGACCTCTTGCCACTGGTCCCCGCCTTCGGGGGTGGAGGAGGACGAGATGATGACGCTGACGCCCCCTGCGTCTGCTCAAACTCAGCCTTCTTGACGTGGGCCGCATTCAAATCCAACGCATTCTTGTACAACGCGTTGATGTCACTCCGAGGAGCAATGATCAGATGAGCTGAAAGGTCGGGACGTAAGCCCTCCACGAAGCATTTGCACCGCTTCTCCATGGTCTGTACGAGGTCTTGCCCAAACCCCGCGAGCTCGTCAAACTTTTGACGATACTCAGGTAGTGTGAGTTCACCTTGGGTGAACTTCAAGAACTCCTCTCGCTTCGCCTCGACAAAGTGCTCCGGGATGTACTCTTCATGGAAGAGTCGATCAAAAGTGGCCCACTGAACGGGCTCCGGGACGTCCGCTCCTACACGCTTCCACCAATCGTAGGCGGAATCCTGAAGTAAGGCAACTGCGAGGTCACCACGCTGCTCCTGTGGAACCCTCAGGTTCCCCAACACCCGGATGGTTCGTTCGAAGCACCATTTAGCGATCATAGGGTCGGCAATCTGATCGCCTAGAAATTCCTCAGCTCCGTTCTTCCGGAGCTTCTCGATGGTGACCACCGCCACTGGTGGCGGCGGTGGAACGTATGCTCTAGCCATCTGCTGGAGGAAGTTCATGAAGTTAGCCGCAAACTGCGGCTGGACGATAGGGAAGGCTTCCGGAATAGGGCCCACGCCTGGGACCGCCTGCTCGGAGGCCTGCTGAGGTGTGAAGCTGGACACTTCAGTGTGCACGCTCACGTGCTCAGGCTCCCCCTCTGGGACAGCCTGTCCGTCATTGCTAGCTGCTTGACTCATTCTCTATAGGAATAACTTAAATCAGAACTAATTACAATATGACATACATGTGATTAAAATAACGGTGTACCTTTCCCTGGAAGTGATGTGATGGGAGATGCGGCTGTGGACTTTTTGAAAAGAAAATACCTTTTGACCAAAAATTACAAAATTTGTGTTTTTTTTGTTATTTTTTTTCACTAAAACCGAACTTCTTTGATACCAAATTGTAACACCCGCCTTCCGCGGACCTGGTTCACCCGCAACCCGACGGACCGGTAGGGTTACATGGGCAGTCCGAGAACCGTCCGTTACATAAAACATTAATGATTATTTAATAAGAAAATGGTTGAGTTTTAATTAGTGAAATAAATGCCAGGGAGTTACTCCCAAAACGTGTATTATAAAAGTACAGAGTAAATGCGGAAGAAAATAAATAAGTCTAGTCCAAATTTAATAACGACAAGGGTTGGTTCATGCCCAAATGATTAAACAAGTAATTATTAGTAAATATGAGTTCGTCCGTGCGCCGCCCATCTCCCCATCGTCACTGCTCTCCAGGGTTGGCACCAGCCCCGTCATGTCTACCTGCGTGTAGCAAAAACAACTACACGCTCAGCAAAAGCTAAGGAGTGAATTTAACAAAAGAACATTTAGTGATAACCCATATGGCTATACACATATTAATACTTGTACTTAACATACGGGAAACCACATGTTACTAAGTGTTTAGTTTTCACATGCTAGGACTATTACAACAACAAGGTGGTAGCTCATACATGATGATGATATGACTTGATGCATGACTTAAACTATCAGAGACACCCCTTACTGAGTCTCACTCGACAGGATCACCCCTGCACTCCGGTCACCGTACCCGAATGGTAACGGGCCGGGCATGACGAAGATGTCGCGAGTGGACTAGCAAAACCGGGTAGTAGCCGTAACCTGACTACTATGTACGTACACAAGCCCAACATGATGAAAACCCGTTGGTCCCCAAAGGTTCCTGGATGGGCCCACTGTAGTAGGCGCACAAAGTCCTCCCTACGGCGGTATGCACATGATGAAAACCTAGGACATGCGTCTAGAATGAACATGATGAATGCTTGATATATTTACCTTTGGTCAACGCCAAGAATATATCAATTAAATAACCTTTATAACGAAGATTAACATTTCATGCAACAAACGACTAAATTCTGGGTCAACGTGGTCAACGGGGGGGCTCGTTCTACAATCTGCCCGGAAAACTGCCCGCGAAACGGTTGACCATACCCTACCGGCACTCGACCATGGGCTACACTTTGGAGGTCTGGATGGCCGACGGTCCACCGTGGTCTTCAGTCGCGGCCGGCGGTCGACCGTCACGGTGGTGATGTTAGAATAAGTGACCAACGCTAGAGGGGGGGGGGGGTGAATAGCGTTTGATCGTAGAAATCGCAGGAATAAAAAATTAAAAACGTGAAAAGTAAAGAGCATAGAAAACGTAAAGGGAGCACACCAAGATTTATACTGGTTCACCACAACGTGTGGCTAGTCCAGTCTCCTGAGAGACTCTCTCGAGCTACACTACTTCCGTTAAGCTTACGGGTGCTTAACAAACCGTTACAACCTGAGAACTCGAGTCCCACGAGCCTCAACAACACTTGCTCGGAGATACCGCACTCCAAGACTTCAACCCGAAGGAAAATACCTTTCCTTCGTACAACCAAGGGAAACCAGCTTCCCTTAACGTGTATACAACACTAAGACACTCAAGAACAAGGCTCTCTTTTAGAGTAGATGTTGAGTAAACTATATACGCTCAAGAACAACTCAAACTTCACAAATTGGCTCTAGAAAGCTATGAAAAATGATGTTGTTTGAATGCAATGATAATATGAATATTGTGAAGTGAATTGATGTGTAAAGCAGACCCAAACACCCCTTTTTATAGTGCCAAAATAGGCTCCAACGGACCAAT